GACCATGACGTCTGTGGGATGGAACACTCTGCGGGTCAGGTTTGGGTCTCCTGGCCGGTTCGCTGCTCCTGTAGGTGCGACCCCTTTTCACTCCCGACACCCCAACACGGAGTACGAGATTCAGCAGTGACCTCGGTCGCTATAAGCACAAGGATAAGCCAGGGCCTCTCTGCATCCCATTCCTTGGTACCGGCTGTAAACATCAGGCCTTGTCGCTGCTGGGAGCAGTCGCTGTCTGGAAAAACACGCTGCCGTTTCAGAAAGTGCAGTTCGAGGAGACTTAACTGAAAAGTTAAAGCACTAAACCAGAATTAGTTCTGGTTTAGCCCAAACCAGGACGTGAGTAGATGACTTTGCTCTTGCAAACTTGGCTCGAAACGAGCGCTGGAAGAGTCTTGGTTACGTAGGTTTGTTCTTTGGGATCCCGGCGGACTTCGCTGGACACCGATTTTTTTTGCTGCGTACGGTGCATCTCGCGTTCCCGTGGGGCTGGGAGGGGGTTGAGATTTGCAGGGGGAAGAGGGGAATCGGGTCTTTGAAAGGCGGCCGCTGCTGCGTGGCTGCAGTTGGAACGGCTCTTGCATTGGGGGGAAAAAAAAAAGGAGGGATGGTTTTAATTGCCACATCTGCTCTGTGTAGTCAGCTTGTCTTAACGTAACCACACGAAAAAGCAGCTTTTACTACTTTTAGCACTTCATAGCCAATCGTTATGAGCAAATGGGGTAAATTGTATTTTTCAAGCCGTCACGAGAGATAAATCCCAGCTGCAGGGTCACTGCTACCAATTTTGACTCTTGCACTGAGCACAAAGTGGTGGTGTCACAAGCGAGGGCAGGGCGGAGGATGAAAGTAGCGGTGCAATTTCAGAGCAATTGGCGGCTGACAAACTGAGAAGGTCGTCGCTTCTCTCTCCTCCCTGGAAATTCAAACTGAACTAATAGGAAAAACAGTTTTCTAATTAAAAGCTCCAAACGGACATCTGGAGTCCTGTGAAACGCTTGGATACCATTTTTATGGATTTAATCTTCTTTTTTTAAGTGAAGCCACGCTTTCATTTCCAGTTTTATTTTATGTTTATGCAGATAGTTTATGGTTCTGTTAAAAACGCCCAGTTTCTCATCTGAAACTCATAAGCAGAGCTTGGATGGACTGACTTGAGAAGAAAAACATGAGCCGAGGGCCCCACCTACAAGAAAACTGTCTCTTACTTGGATGTCAATATTGTCTTGACCTATTCCTATTCTATCTGGAATTCCTTAGCTCGTTTACACACTAGGATTTGTTTTCCCCTGCCACTGTGTCTATTTTTAATTTATTTTTCCCCCTCCTCCCCTGTTTCTAACCAAATCGAAGTTGACGTTAGTTGCCTTTTGCCTGCTCCCCTCGTACCGAATCGTCAGCGGAGAATTCCGTAGAAAACAAATGGAAATAATTCCCAGGGTTTCGTTGGCCAGGATAGGGAAACAAATTTCCTCCAACAAGCAGGAATTTTCTTCTGGCAAATACGCGGGTTCTCGTAACCAAGTTTTGCAGAACTGAGCCTTTTATTTATTAGCAGCTTTTCCTGTTTCTGTTCATCTTTACTCGGCAAAGATAACGGCTGCCCAATTCATCACTCTCGTCCTGATGAAGTCCATGGATTTGGAATGAACGAGACCCTTTGCTGTTCATCCAGCTTTCCTTCATCCTGCTATTTTTAATCAGTTCTGCAGACTCGGAGACGGTTCTGCAGCCATACCTGGCAGGCTGCTGCCATTGCTGAAATATTACAAGCCGCGTCCGCGCCCGCTTCGTATGGGACAGATCAGCTACAGCTGCGCCTTCCCGTCCTCCCGCTCTTCGGGTGCCGGGTGCCGTTTCACCCCACCCGAATCCGCTGCCGTCGTGGTCGTTGCTGGCCCCAGCAACGTACCGCACCCTCCCTGTACGCCGCGTCGCCGTGACCTTCTTGGCGGGGTTTGAGTCTTGGCGTTCCGGAGCGAGCAGGAGTCTGTCGTGGGTTCCTCTCGTGGAGGCGACACCTGCTTGAGTATCACGAGCGACTTGGGAGTTGAGAGACCCTTTATTTGACCTGAATAGTCTTTTAGTGACGTTTAACCCGCTGAAAGACGCGTGTCGGGTCTGTGAGCAGGGGCAGGAGCCTCGGGAGAGAGCGATGCTATAAACCAGATTATGGCCAGTCTTTTGTGCAAGTTGATGCATCAATTATCAGTTGTAAAATGCTGGTCACTAACTGAATAAATATATATATATATTTTTTTTTTTTCCTTTCAGACTTAACTCCCCATTTTATTTCTGAGCCCTTGTCTACTGTCCAGAAGCCCGGCGGGCCCGTACGACTCCGCTGCTCGGCCGAGCCCCCCACGGGTCGCCCCTCTTTGTGGTTT